CGTCAAGAAGAGGGGCCTCAAGGGGCGCCAGCTTTTTCCCGAATGGGTTTCGGTTTTGACCCCTTTCCCCGCAACGAGAATGTTAGGGTGGCTGAGGGGTGGATCTGGCGTAGGCAAGGGTTAGGGGGTCTCTGCGAGACCTGTCAGCGCATTCTGGCCGAGGCCGATTGTTCGATTGACCGCGCGGAGGTCGATGCTGTGAATAAATTGGCAGTTATCCTTTGTCAACCTCTCGACGCCCAGAGGACCTCGCGAGATGGGTAGATCGGTGCTCCCAGGCCCTTGAGGAGCGGGGTAGCGATTTAAACGATGCCGGGGAAGGAGCTCAACCGGAAGGCCAGGCTCAGCTGGGGCCAGCGGCAGCAGGAAGCTTTTTCGGGCTCGGCCCGTAGGATGCACCGCCTGACGAGGTTGAAGGTCGAGTGGCAACCGACGGTGATAGAAACCGCCCCTGGCACTTTCTCGGACAGCTCTTGGCGAGGGAAGCTGATGTCCTTGGGCTTTCTGGGAACGCTCGCACCACCGCTGCCCTTCTGGAGGGCCCAGATCGTTCCTGTCTGGACAGGCTCACTCCTGATGCCGTCAGAGCTGCGTTTAAGAGCCCCCCCCCCCCCCCGCACACGCGCGCACGCACGCACACGCGCGCGCGCGCACACACGCACACGCACACACACACACACACACGCACGCACGCACGCACGCACGCACGCACGCACACACACACACACACACACACACACACACACACACACACACACACACACACACACACATACACACACACACACACCCACGCACGCACGCACGCACGCACACACACCACACACACACACGCGCACGCGCACGCGCACGCGCACGCACACGCACACGCACACGCGCACACGCACACGCACACGCACACGCACACGCGCACACGCACACGCACACGCACACGCACGCGCACGCGCACGCGCACGCGCACGCGCACGCGCACACGCACACGCACACGCACACGCACACGCACGCACACGCACACGCACACGCACACGCACACGCACACGCACACGCACACGCACACGCACACGCACACGCACACGCACACGCACACGCACACGCACACGCACACGCACACGCACACCCACACACACACACACACACACACGCGCACGCACGCACGCACGCACGCACGCACACACACACACACACACACACACACACACACACGCGCACGGCGCAGCCTCTGGACGGAATGCATGTCGGACACTTATCGTGTATGTCTGGTGATGGGCTTAGTATTTTGGCTTGCATGTTCAAACGGTTGAAAAGATAGGGGCGTTTCCCAGGGATGTTTTTCCCCCTCCTCGAGAAGCCCAAGGGTGGGCTGGGGCTTGTGCTGCTGCGCGCTGATCCCGCGCGCTTATGCGAGAAGCTTCGTCGCCCCGTCGTCAACGCCCCCAACGCGGATCACCCCCGTGAGTACTGGATTTTGGTGCGGGGAAGTCGGCGGAAGGTAGGATTTGGAACCAGGCGGCGACGGCGGAAGCCAGCGCGGCCGAATGAGTGTCGCGGCGGGGTTCTCTTGAGACGGGCCCAAGCACTACGCAAGCTTCGACCTGGCGGTCTTAGAAGAGCGGGGCCTCCGAGCCCTAACCCGATCGCGATCAAAGTTGCGTTCAATTTCTGGCGAGGCCCAAGCGTCCTTAGGCTCGGAGCGGACCACAGTTTGGTGCCGCTATATGCGGGCAATGGGTTGGCAGCAGGTTCCGGTTTTAACGATATTTTTTTGTGTGCGTGTGCGCGCTGGGGCCTTTCCGACGGCTTCGTGCGCCGTGACCGCAGCGTGGAACTGGCGTCGTACATCGACGACGACATGGTTAGTGGCCACGGCGAGCCCGACGCGGTGCTTGATGCCCTTGAGGGCGCTGCATAGGACTTGCACGCTGCCTTCACCAAGGAGCTTGGGGGTCAACCTAGCTCCAGATATGTTGCTGACTTTGGGTTCCAACGGGGACATCGCTCGTCGCCTCGGGGAACGGCTTGGACCTCTGGCGGGCGAAGTCGGTGCCCACCTGGTGCCCATGGGGTGTGACTTGGCCCCAGGGGGCCGTAGAGGACTAAGGGTCATTTCAAAAAGCGCAGGAAGCGGCTTGCGTACATTTTCAGGCGGCGTAGGGTCCTCCAGCGGTGTCGAAGGGCCCTCCCCAGGGAGAAATCCAGGATCGGTAAGATCTACACTGCGGGGGTCAAACCGGCTGTCAGTTTCGGGGATGCCGTCGTCGGGGTGACGGATACTGAACTGAAGCGAGGGCGAAGTGTGCTTATGTCTTTGCAGGCCCCGCACCGTGCGGGTCTTTCGACTAGAGCCAAGATTGCGATCAACGGTGGCCCCCTTTGGCGCAGCATGGCGGCGCCAGCAGTTGCCTGGTCTCACGCGGCGTGGAGTACCATCACGGCGCCGCAGTTCGCCTTCTTCAGCTTGCCCCAGTTGTGCGCCATGTGGCGCGCCGTCGATCGGACAGGCCTTACGCGGGGTCAAAGCAGGGGGCCCATCAGCAGGATGTTCCTCTCCCTGGGTCGGATTGGGCGGTCGGCGACCTCGCCCTGGACTGGAAGGATGACAGGGGTAACCAGCTTTCGCTTTTATACAACGCCCACTCGATGATAGGGCACCTCCTCCAGGCGGGCGTCCAGCGTTACCACGAAAGACGACTTGCGGGGAAGCTGGGGTGGAGCGCTGGTGCGAGGGCGTGCGTGGCTCCGACCCGCAGGATAGCCGAGCCTAACGCGAAAGGTATTGGTCTCAATGCGATGGGGTAGGTACCGGGTTAAAACGTGTTTTTTGTTGTAACGGGCTCTGGGCTGAGCGCAGCTAGAGCGTCGGGATACATATCGGGCGGTAAGTGTCCTCTCCTGTCAGGAGCCAGATTCAGTTGCCCACGGGATTTTCAAGCGTGCTCACCCTCAGGTCCAGGCGGCCAGGGAGGCCGTTGAGGCCACTGTTTTCCTGTAGGCCGCGATCGACGGTGAGGCTAGCTTCTACACGGCGCTGACACTTCCTCGCTCTGTCGAGAAGTGGCCTGGCCTCTCGGACAATCATGAACCCGCGCTTCCTGGTGAACGGCGTGGAGATCCCCTGGCACGATTTCCATCCGAGCGGGCTCGACGTTGCAGGGGATGGTTAATGTGCCCACGCACGATGCCAGAGTCGTCGCGGGCGGGGCACGCCTGGGCTTTCTTCAGCGACCAGGGGACCATCGCACACATTGCACGTGGCACAGCGTGGCCCAGTCTTCCACATCACAGTCAAGCAGCAGAGCAGTGGCAGTTAGCTTTGATGCCGAGTTGTGTTCCAGAGTTTCGTGGGCGCGCATGTTGCAGTGCTTGCATGAACGCGGTTATTCTGCACAACAAGAGCGCGCACGCACAGACTCGCAGTAAGCAGAGATATGGTGGTTTAAGGCGCGGCGCGTTATTGCATATGCATAATAATAATCAGCATGCCCCAGCTGTTCACGCGCCAGCACGTCGTGAGTTGGAAGACGTTGAATTAGTGCCGGCCCCAGATCGCTGGATCGGTCCGGCGAATTGGAGGGCCGATCCAAGAGGGCTCTCGAACTCCATCCCAGGCCTTCGCAGGCTGATGTGGACGATCTCAAGAGCTCGATCCAGAGTCTTGAAATGGTGGCGCGTTTCGCGGCGTCTGCGTTGCCGCCCTTCCCTCGGGTGGTTCACCGGAGGCCGCCTCGGCGAGAGCGCACGCGTAAGGCCTTTCAGGAGGCCACGGGCTGGCACGCTCGGGAACCCTGGTTGCGGGGTCACAGGTGTTCCAGCTGCCTTACTTTTTATTCGGGGGATCCTGGTCAGCGGCCCGAAGTTGGCTGTGGGGTTTCCCCTGCTCTGGTCCGTGAACTCCCGGTTCAGGCCCCGCTGCACGGCCATGTTTCGGCCAGCGCTCGGGTCGAACATCAGGCCAGGCTGTTAACTGTTTGCATGAATTGCGGTTACTTTGCCCAGCGCAGAGCGCACAAGTTCGCGCAAGCATGTGCCCGACCGCAACGCGATGACGAGCGAAGCAGCGCGGGCACAACAGTCCTGTGCCGACTTCGTCGGGGCATCCATCCCAAGCATGATTGGATCGTCAGTCGTGCGTCGAAGGAGGACCCGCCCTCCCGTCATGAGGCCCAGGCGTATGATATCGCCGCCAGGCCACAGCATGTCGCCGCCTCTGCTTCGCCGCTGGATTGTTTGGCGGCCATCCGTGCCAGGATTGCAGCGCGTGAAGCTGCTAATGGGGGGACGAGGGTGGAGGCGGGTGGGTCGGGAAGGGATCGTGTCGGTCAGCCTCCAGAGGTGTTGGACCCACCAGCCTTTGGAGCGGACATCTTCGATGATGAATTCGAGGCGGAGGCTGCTGCCGCCAACTCTTGGTTTTCGAGGTTTGAAGCCGAAGAGGAGGCTTTTCGTTTTTTCGAGGGTGGGGATGGTTCCCAGCAGGCGGCCAGGTCCTCCCCTCCTGATCCCAGGTCTGCCCTCCGACGTGTGGTGGCCAGCCTCAGAGAGGAGGAAGACAATGCTTCTCTGGTTTCGGGCCGGCCCAGTGCGGGCCACGAGTCGGGATCAGCTTGAAGAGCGCCGAGTTGTAGGTGGACCAAGGGGAATCCCCTCGACAGCGGGAGATGTCTCCCTGGCCTGCTGCCTCTCGGTGGTGTTCAGTCTGCTGGGCCGCCGTGCGGCCAATTTGAAACTGGTTCGGTCAAAGGTGACCAAAACAATTCTCCGTCCTCCATCCTTCTTCCCCCCTCATCCCTCCTCCCTCCTCCTCCTCCTCCTCCTCCTCCTCCTCCTCCTCCGCCTCCTCCTCCTCCTCCTCCTCCTCCTCCTCCTCCTCCTCCTCCTCCTCTCCTCTCCTCCTCCTCCTCCTCCTCCTCCTCCTCCTCCTCCTCCTCCTCCTCCTCCTCCTCCTCCTCCTCCTCCTCCTCCTCCTCCTCCTCTCTCTCCTCCCGCGGCTCTGCCGCACCAAGGCATGTTGCTTTACTGTGTGTACGTTGGGTGCTTCGGGCTGGCCGTGCTCTGCGACCCAGGGGCGCGCGGCGGGGGTCGTCGTCGCCGCCGCCGCCGCCGTCGCCGCCGCCGTCGGCGACAGGGGAGGAGGGGGAGGAGTTGGAGGAGGGGGAGTGGGAACAGGAGGAGGAGGATGAGGAGGTGGAGGAGCAGGAAAAGGAGGAGGGATGGGGAGGAGGATGAGGGGGGGGGAGGAAGACGAGGAGAAGTGAGGGAAAGGGAGGAGGAACACGAGGATGAAAAGGTACGAGGATGAGGGAGGATGGTGAGCAGTAGGGGGAGGACGAAGGGAAGGGAGGAGGCAGTAACGGGAGGAGGAAGAGCAGGAGGACAACGATGAGGACAATGAAGGGGACTGTGAGAAGATGAGAAAGTGGTGACGGCTGCAGGGCCAGGGGTGCCCGCCGCATGGAGCGTCACTGCGTTGTTCCCTTCCTATATTCGTTTTCCCTTTTCCATCTCCCCGTCCTTGTCTTGATGCCTCCCCGTTCATTCCTCCCTCTTCCCATGCCTCCCTCCTCCCATCCTTCCCCATCCGTGCATCCATCCAGCCGCCTCTCTTCTTCCCTTCCTCCATGCCTACCTCTCCCTCACCCCCTCCTGCCCTGATCCCGCACTCCTTCGTCCCAGTCCGTCCCTGTCTCCCTCCTCCCTCCTCCTCCTCCCTCCCCTCGTCCTCCTCCTCCTCCTCCTCCTCCTCCTCCCCCTCCTCCTCCTCCTCCTCCTCCTACTCCTCCTCCGCAACCGCAGCGGATCGCCCTCGACTGTGCGGTCAAGAAGCTGCGGGCGGCTCTCGCTGAGCACCGGGGGCGACGGGTAATCATGGATCGCGATGCGGGGACTGTCCCCGTCGGGTGGGAGCTACTGGCCAGAGTCCTCGTTGATCCCGCTGAGCACCCCAAGGTCCAGAGGAATCCCAGCCTCATGGCGCATCTCAACCTGGTTCGTGCCGACCTTGTCCGTCTCGCCTCGCGCCTCTTCGAGCTTCAGCAGCTCATGTCTCCCACGCGCCCTGGGCCACCTTTCGGGATGCCGTGTGCCGAAACATCGACCCAGACAAGGTCCAGTCATCCAATCCGCGACCCTGTTCGGCACGCACGTGCCCACGGAGAAACAGGGCGAGGAGCGAGAACGGGAGCGGGAGCGGGGTGAGCGGGAGCGGGGTGAGCGGGAGGTGCACTTGCGAGGTGTCTGCGTTTGGGGGGGAAGGGGCCGCGGCGCAGTTCGTGAGGAGGTTCCTCCTCCTCCTCCTCCTCCTCCTCCTCCTTCTCCTTCTCCTTCTCCTTCTCGTTCTCCTCCTTCTCCTCCACCTCCTTCTCCTTCTCCTCCTCCTCCTCCTCCTCCTCCTCCGCCTCCTCCCTGATCTGGGCGCTGTATCATGACATGAGGAGCTTCGCCAGGATCGGCGATGGCAGAGGAAACTATTGTTTCACGTCCCCGCTGGAGTAGCGCAAGGATGCCCACCTTCTGGGGCGGTGTGGGCTCTTACGTACGTTCTACTGTCTCATGAAACATCTGTGTCACGGTCCAGAGCTCGCTCCAGTGCAAGACTTCCCTGAGGCAGGAGCTTGTGCTGCTCATGATGCTGGGGTGGTACTGCCGATGCTAACTGAGGCTGCCCGGCTTGCCCAATCTTTGTGCGAGCCAAGGAGATGCGGCTCTTGAGTTGGAGGAGAAACAGCGTTTCGTAGTCCCACCGTGGAGGTGCCCTTTCAGGAAGTATTTAGTCGAAAGGATCCAGGCTGTCCTCGCCATTGAGGCCCCACTGTTCGCTCCTTGCCTGTTCGAGGTCAAGCAAAATACCCTCGTATGTGTCTCGGTCCTGAGGCGACTCTTGAGGTACAGTGGGAAGCTCTGACCACTAAGTTATCTTTCAGAGTCCGCACCTCGGCTGCTAGCCGTGCCCCACTGGAGGCTGCGGCTAGAAATTTCAGCTCCTGTATCCTCTCTGTCTTGTCGTGTTTTTTTCAGTTCTTCCCTCTCCCCCTTTCCCCCTCCAGATAGAGCTGTGGGTTCTCCACACGTTGCTCAGACTTCCTCTAAACAGATTCGAGAGGACTGAGCTCTTGAGCTTTGGAGGTTGGATGACTGGACCGGCGCCTGAGGCGATGTTGGTCTTTGCGAGGTCGCATGCGTGGCGTTTCGGGGCGGTCTCGTGACCGAAGGCTCAAGAGATATGCAGTCAATTTGGCGAATTAGGTACGCGGTAAACAATTAGGTGTGTTCGGAAGGAGTGGTCCCCGCCCTGCTGGCGGCAGAAGCAGTTAGTTCCTTGTTGACGTTCTCGACGGAAGGCCTGCAGCAGGCCTCGGAGGCGGAGTGCTGCAGGCTGCCTCTCAGGCTGCGCGTGATGAGCTGCTGGAGGTACGTCTCAGGGCTCGCAGGGCGAGGCCTCAGAGAAGTCACGCCAGGACCCTGACCCACCTCCTCTTTCCTGACGCCCTCCACCTTCCCCCCCGCGGTCGGATCGGGTCCTTGTTCCCCGAGCCCCCCCCCCCCCTCCCCAGGAGAGGGCCCGCGTATGGCCCTCCCCTTCGAGGGACCTCGGCCACGTCTCGACCGCCTTGCTCGCTTGAAGACCCCTGCGGGGGCGCGGGCGACATCGGCAATAATGCCCATCCTCCGCTGCCGCTCTCGCCTTCGTGGACGTGACGGACGTGTGGGTCCCATCCCCCACTGTCTCTGCTGCCTTCGCCTGCTGCATCTCCTCGCTCGGCCCCGCTCCTCTCTCCCCGCCTGCCCAATCGTTCGACCCGAGCTCGGGACCGAGGCTGGCTACCCGTCTGAGTTTCCGCGTGCCGCGGCCCATTGCAGCGCAGTCACCACTTTCCAGTCATACCATAAACTGAAGGCGGAACTTGACCTCGACCCGTACTTGAAGCTGCTTCGTGCGTTCAAAGTGGCCGTGGGGCCGCCTGAGATGACGATTAAAGCTGGAAGTTGCCTGCGTTCCTCCTCCTCCACCTCTTTCTCCTCCTCTACCTCCTCCCCCTAACCTGTTTCGCGGAGTTTACGTGCGCTTCTCCTCCTCCTCCTCCCTTGCACCTCCCCCCTCGCTGAACCGTATCCTCCCGGTTCCCCCTCCACCTCCACATGCACATCCTCCATTTTCTCTTCCCCCCTCCTCTTCCTTCCTCCTCCATGTCGACCGCCTCCACCTCCTCTCGTCCCTCCCGCCCTCCCTCTCCCACCTCTCGTTCGCCCCATCTGTCCTTCTTCCTGCGCCCATCCTTGCTCTCCTCCCCCTCCACTCCCTCCCCCTCCGCCTAGTGCCTTCAGCGCTTTGCACACCCTCGGCAATGACCCCATCATGGGATTGTTTCGCGGACGTGCGGGCGACGCAAAAAGACGGGTTCGATTGTGCCGACATTCGTCTTCCTTTTTGTCGCTCATCTGGGTCCTTTGTCCTCCTCCCCCCTCTTCGCCACCTCTCCGCAGGCGCCCGAGCAGTGGCAGCTCTTCCTGGCTGGTTCGGGCAGCGGCGGGCTGGCCGCGGGGGTGCTGTGGACGGCGCAGGGCAGCTATCTCTCCAGCTCGGTGGCGGCGCTGGCGGCGGCGGACCCCCCGCGGGGTGCACCCCGCGCATCGCCGCCGTGCCTGACCGGGGCCATCCCACGGCGCGTGTATTCGGACGCTCTGGGCCTCGACCAGGAGGGCGCCAAAGGTCAGGAGCTTTTGCTTAGCGCGTCGCCGCGGCGGCCCCAGCGACGCGCTATGCCTTGCGAGTGGGTAGCGTGTCGCTCCGCTCCGCGGGGCGGGAGGCTCGGAAAGGCTCGGGACGTTCACGCTGGGGGGCTGGGCGGTGGGTCAGAACCGGCGGAGCGACATGCTCTCCAGAAGTTCTCGACTGTAGGCTCCAGGCCAGGGGCCCAGGATGGCACTCTGGCCAGGCACGGTGGCGGTGTGCGCAGAGGCGCCTCCTGCACAGAGGACCCCGGGCGCGACCGCGACGTGTCCTCGGCCGAGCTGTCCCGGGAGGCCCGAAGAGCGCAGAAGCATGCGGGCTCTGGATGTCCGTGGGCGGCTGCCGTGCAGGTGCTGGAGGCCCTTCCAGGGCACCCCTTTGGCGGCGCCTGCGGCTCTGCGACCGCTTGCGAGCCCTACCCCTGCGGGTCTAATCGACGCTGGGGTACGTAACTCAGACACCCCCGCTGAGGTTCTCTCGGCTGCAGGCATCCTTCACAGTCTGAGCCCCAGCCATTTTTTACCCAATCAGTGCTTGCACTGAAGGGGTCCTAGCGGATATTGAAAGAGAAGGCGAATGTTGCACGCCGATTTTAGTGGCAGGCCGGGTTCCCGGGTTCCCGGATTTCCGGTTCCCGGGCCGATTTCGGTGGGCGGCGAGGTTCGCAGGTTCCCAGGTTCCTGGTCGATCTTCTTATCGATCGGTTTCAGCATCGATCTCATTTTCCACCTCTCTATCGATCTCACCATCGATCTCACAATCGATCTCACAATCGATCTCAAAATCGATCTCGCAAGCGATCTCACATGAGATCGCACGAGCCATCTCGCGATCGATCTCCCTATCGATCTCATTGAATCGATTTCACTCTCGGTCTCACGATCGACCTTACAATCGTCAACTATCGATTCCACGATCGATCTCATTATCGATCTCAAGATCCATATGACCAATTTTCAAGTCATCCACTGATTGGGTTTTCTCAGGTGTAATTAAGAAACCTTGCCTGCAGGGGCACGTAGAGCTCAGATGTGGCTGCCCATTCAGCGCCGCGCGCCATGGACAGTCCGGGGGTGGGTGGGGGGACGCGGCTCTGGCGGGGGGAGCCGCCCGCGGGCGTCCGTGACGGTCGCCCAAGCAAGCTTACGCTCCTCCCTCCTCCCGTGTCCGGTGGGTTCGCCACGATCTACCTGGGCCTGGAGGTGGTCAGCTCAGCTGCCCCGATGCGCCCGTGCTGAAACGCAACACGTACAGTGTTCAGAACGTCCGTGCTGACACGCTGCGTGCTGGCTCGGCACGTGTTGGTCCACGTTTTGGCGCCAGACCTAGAGAAGTTCAGTCTACGTGTTGAGTTCCGTGTCAATGCGCTACGTGTTGCGCGTTGCATATCGGGGCAGCTCAGGTGGTCAGCAAGCTGGGCTTCTCCGCGCTGCAGGCGCTGGGCCTGGGCGCAGAGCTGGTCGCACTCGGGTACTTCCTGATTGGGGCGGCCGCGCTGGCTGGGGCTACCTCCGCGTACGACCTCAGCCCCTCGGGGGGCCTGGTCGGCCCCAGGGGCGTGGACGCTGGGCGCGCGCCCGCCGCGGCCACCGCCAAGGTGACGGCGGCGGTGTCGCTGTGGTCCGACCCGGTGCTGTGGCTGCTGGCCCCCACGAACCTCACCTTCGGATTCTGCGCGGCGTACATTCGGCCACGCGCAGGAGTGACCCTTCGCTGGAGTGACCTGTGGTGCGGGCCCGCAGGGGCCCCCCCCCCCCAGCACTGGCCTGCGCGCCTGGACTTGGCTCCCCCATGGCATCCTGAAGCCGCGCACCAAAGGTTGACCACTGCCCAGGTTCGCTCCTGCGTGTGGCCGGTACATGAACGGCTTCGTCAACGGGACCTACGCCACCCAGGAGCTCGGCCGCAGCGCCGTAGCGGGCCTGACCGCGGTCACGGCGCTGGCCGCGGCGCTCCTGGCGCAGGTCTACGGCCCGCTCAGCGGCCGCTTCGGCAAGGGCCTGGTGCTCTGTGTGGGCGCGCTGTCGTTTGCCGCCATCCCGCTCGCCACCCCGCTGCTGGGCTGCTGCGACGGCTGGGGCTGGGGCGTGCTGGCGCTCTACCTGCTGCAGGGCTCCGGGCGGGCCGTCTACGAGTCCACGAATCGCGCGGTCTTCTCTGACCTGTTCCGGGCGTAGCTGCCCCGATGCGCCCGCGCTGAAACGCAACACGTACAGTGTTCAGAACGTCCGTGCTGACACGCTGCGTGTTGGCTCGGCACGTGGTGGTCCACGTTTTGGCGAACGTATCGAGCCAGACCTAGAAGTTCAGTCTACGTGTTGAGTTCCGTGTCAATGCGTTGCGTGTTGCGTGTTGCATATCGGGGCAGCTGAGGTTCCAGGGCGAGCGCACGGAGGGCGCCTTCGCCAACTGCCAGCTCCAGTCCTCCCTGGCCTTCGCCCTCTGCTTCTTCCTGCAGGGCTCCCTGGCGGGCGGGCAGCTGCAGGGCGCCGTCGTGGCCCTGGCGCTGCTCACCCCGCCGGGCTTCTTGCTGGCCGAGAGGCTGCGGCGCGCCGAGCGCGAGGAGGGGGCGTGACTGACGCGCTGGCGGCGGGCCCTCAGGGCCTCGGGGGACCTCCCCTCCCAGACCCCCTCGAGGCATGACCAAATGCACCACGGGAGTTGTTGTTGCGATGTTCGGCTTCCAGGGGCCCTCGCGGGGCCCTGGGAGCGTCAACAAAGCGACTCAGGATGAACATGATCGACCCACGAACCCGGAAAGGAATATAGACATGTAACGCATGGCAACGTTTTCAAAGACACCTGATTGGATTGGGTGACGGGCAAATGCAATGCGGAGTGTATCGATCTTGATGCACCGTGCCAAAGGCTGTGTTGCGCTGCGCCGTGCTGAATTGCGATGTGCCATGCCGCGACTGTGCACTATAGCGTTGTGGATCGAGTCCCCCTTTGCATCCGAGTCCTGACCGAACTGGTCTGGATCTTAAGCTCGAGCTGCCTGAACACATAGTAGCTGCCCCAGAGCTAACTGACAGGGGGACATGCCAGTATCACGCGCCGCGAAACGTCCCAAGGGACGCGCCAGGCGACATGCCAGGGGACGTGCCATAGGGTCGCACCGCGGGACGTGCCAAGGGGACGCGCTACGGAACGTGCCAATGGATGTGCCACGGGATGCGCCAGGGGACGCGCTACGCGACGTGCCAGGGGGACTCGACAAGGGACGCCCCACGGAACATGCCAAGGAACGTGCAAGGTTGCAATGCTGAATGTATCGATCTTGATGTACCGTGCCGAAATTTGTGCTGTGCTGCGCCGTGCTGAATTGCGATGTGCCATGCCGCGACTGTGCTCTATGGCGTTGTGGATCGAGTCCCCCTTTGCATCCGAGTCCTGACCGAACTGATCTGGTTCTTAAGCTCGAGCTGCCTAAACACATAGTAGCTGCCCCAGAGTTCATTGACAGGTGGACATGCCAGGAGGACGCGCCGCGGAGCGTCTCAAGGGACGCGCCAAGCGACGTGCCAGGGGACGTGCCATGGGGACGCACCGCGGGACGTGCCAAGGGGACGCGCTACGGAACGTGCTGGGGACAAGCGTTTCGTTCGAGACATCTTGTCAACATCCTCATGCTAGACATCCGCCTGAGCGACCTGGACACGTGAAAACAAGCGTTTCGTTCAACACATCCTCAACAAATTCTCATGCTAGACATCCGCCTGGGCGAGCTGGACACGTGAAAACAACTGGCTCGCTTGAGACATCCTCAACACACCTTCATGTGAGACGTCCGCCTGGGTGACCTGGGCACGTGAAAACAAGCGTTTCGCTCGAGACGTTTTCAACACCTCCTCATTCTAGACATCCGCCTGGGCGACCTGTACACGTGAAAGCAAACGTCTCGCTCGAGACATCCTCAACACATCTTCATGTTAGACATCCGCCCGGGCGACCTGGACACGTGAAAACAAGCGTATCTCTCAGGACATTCTCAACACATCCTCATGCTAGGCATCCGCCTGGGCAACCTGGACACGTGCAAACAAGCATCTCGATTGAGACTTCGTCAACACATCCTCATTCTAGACATCCGCATGAGCGACGAGGACGCGTGAAACCAAGCGTTTCGCTCGAGACATCCTCAACAAATCCTGTCGCTAGACCTCTGCCTGGGCAACCTGGAGGCGTGAAACCAAGCGTCTCGCTCGAGACATCCTCAAGACCTGGGCACGTGAAAACAAGCATTTCACTTCAGAGATTCTCCAAATTCTGGTCCCCAGGAGAGGACAATCTATAACACAAAACAAGCGTTTCGCTTAAGACATCCTCAACAAAATATGAAAAGCAAGCGTTTCGCCAGGGACATCCTCAAATTGTAATTCGCCGGCCCACCTCGACCTCGATATTTATCGCAAAAAGAAATTCGCCGGCCCACCTCAAGTCCAACCCGGAGGTAAACCAACTAAAAGAGAACCCTGGGCTTATGCCCTTTCCGGGAAAAACCGGTCCCCGGGAATGAGTCGAGACCTCTGGGGGGTCGACGTTGTGAACAAATTATGACGTCGGGGGTCGGGTTCAGAGAAGGGCGAATTGAGACAACGGTAGTTGGCCTTAGAGGTGGCCCTTCGTCGCCACTTGCGCGGTTGCACGCCGGGAGGGGTCAGGGGACCGATTTTAAATTGCAGTTGTCTAAAGTCGCCCTGCTCCGATCCCTGGACGCCCTCCGGCGCGCCGAGCACGGCGGGTCCACCGGCGGCTGCCAGTCTTCCTCCCGAGGAACAAATAATGGCATAAACAAGCTCTTTCGGAGGTCCGAGCTGATTTTTTGCATCGGCCCTGGATCCCCCTCCCGGGCGCGCGAAGCGCGCCAGGGGCGGCGCTGGAGGCGCCGCCAGGTGATTCGAGCGCCGATCCGAGAAATCCGCGCGGATCTCCGCAAGATCATGTTTATGTCATTCTGTGTTCGCAGGTCCTCCCCGCCCTCTCTCCTCCTGCCTTCTCGCTCCCTTGCTCCTCCTCTGGCTTCGCCTCTTCCTCTCGCTGCTGCCGGGCCCCAAGCATGGAGTTTGTCTCGCAGATCGGCCAGCCCTGGCAGCGAGCGCGTCAGACATCTGCTCGGCGGCAGCTGCGAATTTCAACACAACGTCGGCCGAGGAGCGGTTTTCTAGGCAGCGTTGGCCGCGTCGCGCGGTGCCGCGAAAACGGGCTTGCGCGTTGGCTGAGTGGCCAGACGCATGGGACAAGCGATCGGGAGACGATCTGACGCGACGTGACGTGATTTGATGGGCGGATCGGGGTAGCAATCGTTGCTTCAGGGAAGAGTGGTCAGCTTGGCTGCCAGGAATCACCAGCGTAGCCAGCATTCCCCAAGAGGCCCCAGGAAGTCTCAAGAGGCCCCATGATGGCCCCAAGAAGCACCCGGAGATAACAGGAGAGCCCAGCATTCCCCAAGAGGCCTCAGCAGAACGCTCCAGGTGGCCTGATGATGAGGCCATGAAAGGTCCCGAGAGGCCCGAAGAGAGCCGCGGAAAGGCTCAGAAGGCCTTTTGGGACGTGTCAGCCGCTGGTCACAGGGAGCCGCCATGCTTCTCTCTCGCCGCCCCTGCCCTTGGTCACATGACTGTCGGTCCTCGGCCAGTCAGCCCACCCAGGGACGCCCGAAGATCGGCTGCAGGTGGCCGCTGCTGTGGTGTCGCCGCGGCTGCTCGGTTCTGCCTCGCTCCCCTCCGACATCCGGCCGCCGCGGACACCCTGGCGAGGCGCGTGAGGGCCGTGAGCGGCAGGAGGAGTCCGGAGGACGTTCGCAGCAGGCGATCCTCGGAGCGCCCACGGCCCACCTGGCGCCGCAGCGATCGCCAGCGCGACAGCCCTTGCCTCCCGCGCCGAGGTCCACTCGGGAGAAGATGCTGACCTTCACGTCCCAGGCAGAGCGGCCGGGTGCCCCCCCCCCCTGGCTCCCTCCGCCGCATCCTCCCGCTACTGCCGATGCTCATCCCTCCTCCTCCTCTTTCTCCTCCTCCTCCTTCTCCTCCTCCTCCTCTTCCTTCTCCTTATGCCTCGCTTCTCCCTCCTCATGCCTCGCTCCTTCCTCCGTTCCTTCTCCTCCTCGTCCTCAGGCTTCTGCTGCTGCTGAGGCTGCACCTGCTCCTGCTCCATCTCCTCCCCTCCTCCTCCTCCTTTCCCCACTTCACCCCGCTCGCCTCCCCCCGTAAACCTGCTCCCCACCCCTCTGCCTTGGACCATGTGAGGAGGAGGAGGAGAAGGAGAAGGAGGAGGAGGAGGAGGAGTGTAAACCCAAGACGCATCAACGATGGTGCAATCAGCCCTTCCTCCAAGCTCCCCCTTCATAGGTCCCTGCAGTAATGACTTTCGTCGCGGGACGTGGCCCATTAGCAGACAATTGTCTGAGAATCCTCAATCGTGCCAAAGCGTACAACTAAGGACTTCAACGCCGCCGATCTACGTGCCTGCTGCGGTCTGGCACTCCTGAATCGTACCAGAACGCCGTGCCTGCAACTTCAGCAAAGCGAATCAACGTGACAGTTGCAACCTGACAATCCTAGATGGTACCAGAAGACCGTTCCTGGGACTTCAACACCGCGAGTCAACGTGACTGTTGCGAGACCAACTTTAACATGATCGACCCACGAACCCAGAAAGGAATATAGAAATGTAAGGCATGGCAACTATTCAAAGACACCTGATTGGGCGACGGGCAAATGCCATGCTGAATGTATCGATTTTGATGTACCGTGCCGAGGGCTGTGCTGTGCTGCGCCGTGCTGATGCTGAACTGCGATGTGCCATGCCGCGAATGTGCTCTATAGCGTTGTGGATCGAGTCCTCCTTTGCACCCGAGTCCTGACCGAACTGATCTGGATCTTAAGCTCGAGCTGTCTCAGCACATAGTAGCTGCCCCAGAGCTAATGGACAAGGGGGCATGCCAGGAGGACGCGCCGCGGAACGTCCCAGGGTACGCGCCAGGCGACGTGCCAAGGGACGTGCCACGAAGACGCACCGCGGGACGTGCCGAGGGGACGCGCTACGGAAAGTGCCAATGGACGTGCCAATGGACGTGCCAGGAGACGCGCCGCGCGACGTGCCAGGGGGACTCGCCACAGGACGCGCCACGGAACGTGCCAGGTTGCAATGCTGAGTGTATCGATTTTGATGTACCGTGCCGAGGCCTATGCTGTGCTGCGCTGTGCTGAACTGCAATGTGCCATGCCACGATTGTGCTCTATAGCGTTGTGGATCGAGTCCTCCTTTGCACCCGAGTCCTGACCGAACTGATCTGGATCTTAAGCTCGAGCTGCCTCAGCACATAGTAGCTGCCCCAGAGCTAATGGACAAGGGGACATGCCAGGAGGACGCGCCGCGGAACGTCCCAAGGGACGCGCCAGGCGACGTGCCAGGGGACGTGCCACGGGGACGCACCGCGGGACGTGCCGAGGGGACGCGCTACGGAACGTGCCAATGGACGTGCACCGCGCGACGTGCCAGGGGGACTCGCCACGGGACGCTCCGCGGAACGTGCCAGGCAACATGCCAGACTGCAATGCTAGGGGTATCGATATTGATGTACCGTGCCGAGGGCTGTGCTGTGCCTGGGCGACCTGGACACGTGAAAACACGCGTTTCGCTCAAGACGTTCTCAGCACATCCTCATGCTAGACATCCGCCTGGGCAACCTGGACACGTGCAAACAAGCGTCTCGATCGAGACTTCTCGACACATCCTCATGCTAGACATCCGCCTGGGCGACCTGGACACGTGAAAACAAGCCTCTGGTTCGAGACATCCTCAACAAATCCTCATGCTAGACATCTGTCTGGGCAACCTGGAGGCGTGAAACCAAGCGTCTCGCTCGAGACATCCTCAAGACCTGGGCACGTGAAAACAAGCATTTCACTTGAGAGATCATCTGAATTCAGGTCCCCAGGAGAGGACACTATATAACACAAAAAAGCGTTTCGCTTGAGTCATCCTCAATACATTCTGAAAAACAAGCGTTTCGCTAGGGACATCCTCAAGCATAATTCCGCCGGCCCACCTCGACCTCGATATTTATCAGGGAATAATTCCGCCGGCCCACCTCAAGTCAGGTCCGGGGTGTAAACAGCTAAAAGAGAACCCTGGGCCTGCGCCCTTTCCGGGAACAAAAACCACCCGGTCCCCATTTTTTATATGTTGTTAATTTTCGAGTTTTAGGATCATACATGGTGAGGAGGTCAAGGCGAAACCCTTGGCCCGTCCTACCGAAACGTCTGGGGGCGCGACAGGGAGGGGTTAAGTAGTATCAGGGAAATGGTTGTCGGGAGGACAGAACAGAAGAAGGATGGGGAGAGAGGAGGAGGACGAGGGGGGGGAGGAGAAGGAGGAGGAGGAGAATCAGGAGGAGGATGAGGAGGAGGAGGAGGATAATCAGGAGGATAATCAGGAGGAGGAGGATAATCAAGAGGAGGAGGAGGAGAACAAGGAGGACCAGAGTAAACCCAACATTGACCAACAAATGCTGCAATACACCCTCGCGTCCCAAGTCCCTTCCGCAGAAGTTCAGACACGTCTTCGTTTCAATTGTGGGCGCCCCCCCTTAAATGACAAGCGGCCAGTCGGTCCGCCCGTCAGACGAGGGCCCCTGTTGTAAAGGATCTTCCTTCCACATCATGGACGCCCACTGCAGCCCCATTTGAGAAGCACATGCCCTTCACCCGACGAAGCGTTCCAGGATGCACGCTGCCGTAACGCAGTGGTGGCTGCGTCTGCAGGACGGCGACAGGCGTCGGGAGCAAAGCGAGACGGCAGCACGTTTGGCTTCAGGTTTCCATAGGCGGCCGCCCATCGGCGATCTGGGAGTCGGCGGTCGCCCGCCCCCAGGGTGGTCCCGACCCCCCCGCCCGTTCCCTTGGCGAGTGCTGCGGCGAGGCCAAGAGGGACGCGAGGCTGGAGCGGGCGGCGCTGACGCAGGCGGGGGCCAGTGCTGGGCGAGAGCTGGGGGGAGGGGAGAGGAGGGGAGGAGGGGGAGGGGGAAGGCTGGGGAGAAGGAGAAGGGGGTGAGTGGCGGAGTGGGGGGATGAGGAGAAGGGGGGGGCGGGGGAGGAGGATGAGGAGAAGGGATGTGAGAAGCGGAGTTGGAGGAGTGGGAGGAGGAGGAGGACGAGGAGGAGGACGAGGAGGAGAAGGAGGAGGAGGAGAAGGAGGAGAAGAAGGAGGAGAAGGAAAGAAAGAGGATGAGGAGGAGGACGATGATGAGAAGGACACGGAGGAGAGGGAGAATGAGAGGGAGAATGAGAGGGAGAAAGAGGGATGGGTAGAAGGAGGGACATGGAGGAGGTGGAGGAGGAGGACGGGGAGTAGGTCTTGGGTTTCACGGGGTGGCATGGGGCTCAACATTGCTCAGGAATGTCCTCCGGGGTGAGAGGCTTCATGGACGGCGGCACACGAGTGTGAGGAGGGAACACGTAGGAAGGATGATAATGTGTGACCGCATGTATACTGAGTTTTCAAGGCTTTTAGGTGGTTTTGCGGTGGGCCGATGAGGCTTCTCGGGTGTCTTTGCTTTGCAGGGAGGAGGTGTGTGTGGAAGAGGTTGTAGCAGCAGGGGGCGAGGCTGAGACAGAGGACACAATGAGGGGTGAGTATATATATATATATATATATGAGCTATCGACGCGGAGAGACTAACTCATATTCTTACTTCATGCGTCAATGAGGAAAAGCAGGGGAGGAGGAGTGTTGGTGGGGATGTGGAGGATGAGGATGGAAGATGTCGGGTAGTGAGATGGAGATGAGGAGGAGGAGGAGGAGGAGGAGGAGAGAATGAGGGAGCAGGACCCGCCCTCCGTATATCTTTCCCCTTGCTGCTTCCACGTCCTGTCATTCTCCCCTCTCCGCTTTCAGTTCCGGACACCTTCTCCACTTCCTCTCTTCATTATTTCCTCCACCTCCCTTCCCCTGCTCCCCTGTACTTCGCCCCCATTTGAACAATGGGCGGGGCGGAGGAGGGCAAGCCATATTGAACATTGCCAGGAGGTCGGAGGAGCGCGATGATGGTGATGATAATGTTGCTGCTGCTGATGATGACGATGATGATGATGAGGAGGAGGAGGATGAGGATGATGATGATGACGATGATGATGATGCTGCTGCTGATGATGATGATGATGATGATGATGATGATGATGATGATGATTATGATGATGATGATGATGATGATGATGAGTCTGTTGATGCTGAGGCTGAGGATGCCGACAATGACGACGAGCATGGTGTCTGTGAGGCTGATGCGGATAATGTTGATGGTGATGATGCTGGTGATGGTGATGGTGATGGTGATGGTGATGGTGATGGTGATTATGCTGATGTCGACGAAGACGACCATGATCGTGATGCTGATGCTGCTGCTGATGAAGAGGAGGAGGAGGAGGAGGAGGAGGAGGAGGAGGGGGAGGAAGAGTAGGGGGAGGAGGAGGAGGAGGAAGAGGAGGAGGAGGAGGCGGAGGTAGAGGAGGAGGAGGCGGAGGAGGAGGAGGAGGCAGAAGATGAAGAGGGGGGGAGGAGTGAGGAGCACGAGGGGAACGGTCAACTGGAAGGGAAAGGCATGTCACGAGCGCGAGGACGAGCGCGACGAAGAGAAGGAGAGGGACCCCCATGCGGTGGAGAGGCATCCAGCAAGGCGTGCGCCCACAGCAGGGTGCGCAAGTCCTATCTCCCACGTTCGTCTGCGGTCTGCGATCTGGTGATGCAGCTGCGCGGGATACATATCCCCCGAGCTATAGGACATGCTGTTGTAAGGATAATGGCCTGGGCTCCTTGAAGAGAAAGCCTGCGGTCCAAGACTCGGGGTGATCATGTGCAGTCTGTAGGGTCCGTTCGGTTTCATGTGTTGTTCCACCTTCGCCCTACACGCGCGGTCGTATCGCTTGCTCCTTTCTACTCCGCCTACTCTTCATCAGTATTCCCCTCCTCTCCCTAGTCGGACCAGGTCCGAACTGGCAATGTTCGGATTGGGAAGTTTCGGTGTCGTCTCTGCTCAGTTTCATGGCAGTGTGCACGGCTAAGCCGATTTTCTATTGCAGTCCCTCTCGGTATGAGGACGGGGGTGAGGTCCATCGTCGCAGCGTTCCGCGGCATACCTCCGATTCGGCGGTTGTGTCTTGGATCGGAAGGGTCTATTCTTGCTTGTGCTTCTCCTCTCCCCAGATCCGACGTCCCGAGTCATTTGTGACGTGGGCCTTCGGAGCCCTCGGCCGCTTCCCCAGGGTTGGCTGTTCTCCCCTGGTCGCTTCTTGTTGGCCCTGAGGCCCGAAACATGCTTTTGGAGGCTGGGAGCTTGGGAAAGCCAGCCGCCTTTTGGTGTTTGTTGCGATGCTGGACGTCCGGATCTCCCTCTCGGTCCTATTCCGAACGTCTCTGGAGGCCCTTTTGGAGCCTTGATCTTATCTCCTCCTTCGTCGGGCATCGCGAAGAGGCGAGGGCTGTCGAGGAGCTGGCCAATCAGATAGACCAGGCGCCCGCCCCCCCCCCTTCTCGTCGTCGTCGTCCTCCTCCTCCTCCTCCTCCTCACGTTTTCCTCCTCCTCCTCCTCCTCGTCCTCCTTCTCTTCCTCCTCCTCTTCCTCGAGGAGACTAGTCTCCGAGGCTCAGCGCTCATAACTCTCTTGCAGTGCAGCGCACGCCCTGCTTTCAAGCCGGAAGGCGTCGGGACTCAGTTGTTCCGATCCGATCTGATAGTTTTCCTTCACTTTCAGCCTCCCCCTCCTTCAACCCCCCCAACATTGCCTTCAGCTTCTAGAGCTGGAGGCACGACTCTTTTGCGAGCCCTCCAGCAGCACCAGAGTCGGGCCTCCAGGTCTACAGGCTGAAGGCCGTTGGGATCGCCGCCCCAGCGCGGCGCTCCTTCTGCCCCTGAGTGGGACAAACTCCACCCGCCACCTCCTCCCCCCCCCCTCCCGTCTCCCTGCCCGTCCATGGGAGGGGCCAGCTGCCCGCGTCCGTTCCTTCTCCACCTTCCCCTCCTCCTTCCCCTCCTCGTCCTCCTCCTCGACCTTCTCCTTCCCATGCTGCTCCAACCTCCTCCAAGCCCCTCCTCCTCTTCCTCCTTCTTCCCCTCCTGATCCAACCTCTTCCTCCAACCTTCTCCAACATCCTCCCCCTCCTTCTCCTCCTTCCCGTCCCAGGAAGGAGCCAGGCGCCCGCACCTCCCCGCCGTTGAGTTGGTTCAACCAACATATGTGTACGTGCGCGCGCCATGAGCGATTGCCCGCGTCACCAATTTGTATTGCGGCGTCCGCTTTCGTTGTTTCGCTGTCGCGCTTGTGAACATGAATGCGACGTGTGACCTGGTGAAGGATACAAGAGTAAGTGGCTCGAAACCATGAAAGCAGGGATGTTGGTGACGATGGAGCGATGATAGAGAGGTGGCCGTGCGCGTCGCAATGCTTCTTGTATATCAGGTAGAGGAAAGCCCGCTTCTCATTATCATCATCTTACTACTACCATGTAAAGTTCGACCACCACCGCCACTATTATGAATACCATCACCACTACAACTACTATTACTGCTTCTGTTGCCGCTACGACTTCCACTACTACTTGGGGACGGTCTAGTTGGGTCTCCGTGGGTGGCGCGATGATGGAGTGGACGTTGCCAGCGCAGTGTTTTGACATACCGTTGCGTCGCTCCCCTGCATGATGTGCCGGCACATTTGGACCCTCATCTCCATCCCCATCATCTTGTCCCTACTCCTCCCAATCGCACCCTCCCCCAAATCATCACCATCATCATCTGCGCCACCAGTATCGTCATCGACCGCACTACCATAATCCTGTTTTATCCTGTATTCTCTTTCCGTGCCACCCCCGCACGGCGGCGGATTCAATCCGCAACAGAGATCGGGCAGGGGAAGGAGGCAGAGGAGGAGGAGGAGGAGGAGGAGGAGGAGGAGAAGGAGTAAGAGGGGGAAGTGGGAGGAGGGTAGAAGGCAGGGGGCGGAGTAGGAGGAGGAGGAGGAGGAGGAGGAGGAGGAGGAGGAGGAGGAGGAGGACGGGATGCGAAGGAGGAGGGGCGCGCCCCCCACCCTTCCCCGCCCGCTGCTCCGGCAGGTGACCCTCGCGCGCCAGAGCAAGGAGCTCCCGCGCCCTCTGCGCGGACACTCGATGGCCACGACGTCCCTCCCACACACGTTCTGTGGGCCCTGCGGGAGGAGGAGTGGAAACAGGAGGAGGAGCAGGAGGAGCAGGAGGAGGAGTAGGAGGAGGACGACGACGAGGGGAGGGGAAAGTTAGGGTGGTGCGGCCGCGCCATATTCGGCATCTTACCCTTCCCACCCATCCCTTCCCAGTGCGCTGTTTTACTTCTATCCGCTGCCAGGTTTCCTGGCGGAGCTGGACCCCTCCAAAGGACCCCATAGTGCTATGCGCAACCAAAAGGGGGAGCTGTGTACATTTGAGGGGGATGAGGGGGTGGCGGATGAGCAGGAGATTGAAGATGAGGATCGAGAAGGAACATCACGAGGATGAACAGCAGCAGCACGAGCAGGAACACGAGGAGCGGGAGGAGCAGGATGTCCAGGGGAAGGCGGAGGAGGCGAACGGAGCACGGCGACAACGACGGGGCACTATTCGGATCCAGAATTGCCGCCCGTACTTGAGCGAGAGCGCCATTCTGAGCGACGAGGCAAAGCGTCGATCCTGAAATGTGGCCTGCCACGGGAACACCACATTGAAGCACCGAGAACGCTCCGATTGGCAAACCATCCATATGAGAAAACACCACCCGAGATCCGACACGTCCAAAGAACAGCATGCGGGAGAAGAGTTGCCCCGCTCAGACAGGACCAAGGGGAGCGAGTACATCAATAATCATATCGAGTAATCGTACATTGCGGGATGGGGGCACTGGACTGCGGGGGATAGGGGAGGTGGAGGAGGATGAGGAGGAGGACGATGATCATGAGGATTGTGATGGCCGCGATGGTGATGGTGATGGTGATGATGATGCTGATGATGATGCTGCTGATGCCGGTGATGATGATGAGGAGGATGATGTTGATGATGATGGTACCGTTGATATTAATGTCGCTAGTGCTGATCATGATAATGGTGGTGGCGGTGATGGCGATGCTGCTGATGATGATGTTGATGATGGTGATGATGACGATGATGATGATGGCGATGATGATGCTGATGATGTGGGTGATGAGTCTTATGATTATGATGGTGCGACGACGACGATGACGGCGGTGATGATGACGACGACGATTAGTCAGCTGTTGATATTGCTGCTGGTGATGCTGATGAGAATGCTGATGCTGATGATGCTGATGCTGATTGCGATGACGATGACGACGATAACGACGACGAGGCGATGACGCTGTTGATGCTGATGATGATTATGATTATGATGATGATGATGCTGATGATGTTGAGGATGATGATGATGATGATGATGATGATGATGCTGATGATGATGATGCGTTTGCTGATGCTGATGATGACGATGATGATGCTGATGATGATGATGATGGTGATGATGCTGATGATGATGATGATGATGGTGATGATGATGATGATGATGATGATGTGGGTGAGGAGGTCGGCGAGGATGAAGATGAGGCTGGCGATGCTGAGGGTGAGCATTGTGACGCTATTGATGGTGCTGACTGGGACGAACACGACGACAACCACCGCGGTGGTAATGATGCCGCTGGTCATGATGACGATGCATATGATGCTGCTGCTGCTGATGATGCTGATGACGATTATGCTGATGCTGATGATGGTGATGCTGATGGTGCTGATAACGAAGATGATAATGATGATGCTGAGGATGATGCTGATGATGATGATGATGCTGATGATGATGATGATGATGATGATGATGATGATGATGATGATGATGATGATGATGTGGGTGAGGAGGTCGGTGAGGATGAAGATGAGGCTGGCGATGCTGAGGGTGAGCATTGTGACGCTATTGATGGTGCTGACTGGGACGAACACGACGACAACCACATCGGTGGTAATGATGCCGCTGGTCATGATGACGATGCATATGATGCTGCTGCTGATGATGCTGATGACGATTATGCTGATGCTGATGATGGTGATGCTGATGATGCTGATAACGAAGATGATAATGATGATGCTGAGGATGATGATGATGATGATGATGAACATGATACTGATGATGATGACGATGATGATGATGATGATGATGATGATGGTGATGATGATGATGATGATGATGATGATGATGATGATGATGATGATGATGATGATGATGATGATGATGATGATGATGATGATGATGATGATGATGATGATGGTGATGGTGATGATGATGATGATGATGATGATGATGATGACGCTGATGAAGATGCTGATGATGAGGATGATGATGAGGATGCTGTTGATGATGATGAGGGCGATGATGATATTGATGCTGATTCGGATGATGATGATGATGCTGATTCGGACGATGCTGATGATGATAATGATGATGATGGTGATGATGGTGATGATGATGATGATGATGATGATGATGATGATGATGATGATGATGATGATGATGATGATGATGCTGATGCTGATGCTGATGCTGATGCTGATGCTGATGCTGATGCTGATGCTGATGGATGGAGGAGGAGGAGGAGGAGGAGGAGGAGGAGGAGGAGGAGGAGGAGGAGGAGGAGGAGGAGGAGGAGGAGGAGGACGGGGAGGAGGGGGAGAGTGGGGGAGGAAGAGGAGGGAGGGAGTGGGGGCAGGAGGAGCAGGAGGAGGAGAAAAAGGGGAAACGCGGCCAGGGGGGGGGGAGGGGAAGGGATGCGAGGTACACTGGGTGGGTGTAGGAGGCGAAGGACGGGGAGGGGTATCGGGAAGGGGGAGCACGGTGTGGTGAATGGGGAGAGCGGGAGGATGAGAGGGCGGAGAAGAAGAGGCAGAGATGGAGGGGGAGGAGGAGGACGAAGAGCACGAGAGGAAGGAGGGAGGAACAGTACATGGTGCTCTGGAAGAGGCGTCTTGCAGTTCGCCTCCGCCGTCGCATTTGCGTGACTTCGTCGTGCCTGAGCGTGTACCCGCGCCCGCGCCGTTCTCTGCACACCTTGCCTCCGAACGTGCCAGTGCCCCTCCGCCCTCGCTGCTTGCCACCTGCCTGCTGCCTCGCCTGCCCCCCGACGGCGTGTACCCGATTGCCCGCTATTCTGTCTGCACGGAGTGTGTGCCTGACCGCCTCGCCCAGGTCGGTCGCATGCGCGACATAGCGTGGGCCTCTCTGGACTCTGCCAGGTCGCTTTGGGCTTCGTGGGGTGTCTCTTGGGCGCCTCCCGTGTTGCTTTCGGGACATCTGTGGGCTGATTCTGCGCAGACTTGCACACCCCTTGGGTTGGTCTGGGGCTCCCTCTCCCGCCCCGCGCTACCTCGCTGTGCCATGCGTTGCACCGCATGGTGAGGCACTGCTCCACCCTGCCTCGTCTCCTGCTGGGTCCGGCCGCGCCTCGCCCTTCCTCCAGGGCCACTCGATGGCCTTCAGGACGTGTGTTTACCCTGGTCGGCTCCGCCGATAGCGCGCAGTCTGTGTCAGCCCTCGTTGAGCCGCCTGCGTCGCATTGAAGGGCCTCGGTGGGCAAGCACTCGTTGGCGCTAACTCATGTTCTGATGATCATCGGGCCACTTCCAGCGGTACGCGCAGGCTGCGTGCAGCGATCCAGGTCCCGGGTCTGTTCTGCCTGGCCTCCCCTTCTCGGACCAGCGTGCCCCGAGAGCGGGCCCTTAGCACCCACCACTGTGAGCAACCACCACCACATGGCGTTCGACTCCATCTCTGTGCGGGACCTTTGGAGCCGGATCGACCCGTGGGTGGCCCAGGAACAGAGTCTTGTCGTGCTTTTTGCCCACGGCGCCCGGATGTCAGGGGAAGAGGAGGAGGAGCAGGAGGCGTGCAAGCAGATCGAACTCGCTTCAGGAAACCCGAAGCGACCAAACCATTCGAAATGCCAGACGAAGTGAAAGTCTGACGACATTTCGAACACCTCGGGGTGCCGGGTCACCCCCAGCTGTTCGAAAGTGATCGCGTCTCGCTCATCGCGGTCTGAGCCGCACATGTGCCCTTCTCCAGGGCGGCGGCGCGAAGGCGCGAGGATAACCGCGCGACATGCATTGCTGGGGTGACACAGGATGAGGGGGAGCAGGAGGAAGAGGAGGAGGAGGAAGAGGAGGAGGAGGAGGAGGAGGAGGAGCGCAGCAGCATACTCTGGTCCCACGTGGCCCTATACGTTTCCCAATCGTCATGCTACTCCTGCTCCGTGCTGCTGCTCCGCCGGTTCGGGCTGACGTGTCCTTGTTTCTGTTGTGTCCCCGTTTACCGCGCGCGCATGTTCATATACAACGGCTCTGAGCTAGTCAGTATCTGGCGAGAGCATGATCGACCCACGAACCCGGAAAGGAATATAGAACTGTAAAGCACGGCGGCGATTCACAGACACCTGATTGGGAGACGGGCAAATGCAATGCTGAATGTATCGATCTTGATGTACCGTGCCGACGGCTGTGCTGTGCTGCGCCGTGCTGAATTGCAATGCGCCATGGCGCGATTGTGCTCTATAGCGTTGTGGATCGAGTCCTCCTTTGCATCCGAATCCTGACCGAACTGATCTGGATCTTAAGCTCGAGCTGCCTCAGCACATAGTAGCTGCCCCAGAGCTAATTGACAGGGGGGACATGCTGATTAGGAGGACGCGCCGCGGAACGTCCCAAGGGACGTGCCAGGCGACGTGCCAGGGGACGTGCCATGGGGACGCACCGCGAGACGTGCCAAGGGGACGCGCTACGGAACGTGCCAATGGACGTGCCACGGGACGTGCCAGGGGACGCGCCGCGCGACGTGCCAGGGGGATTCGCCACGGGACGCGCCACGGAACGTGCCAAGGAGCGTGCCAAGTTACAATGCTGAATGTGTCGGTCTTGATGTACCGTGCCGAGGGCTGTGTTGTGCTGCGCCGTGCTGAATTGCGATGTTCCATGGCGCGATTGTGCTCTATAGCGTTGTGGATCGAGTCCTCCTTTGCATCCGAGTCCTGACCGAACTGATCTGGATCTTAAGCTCGAGCTGCCTGAGCAGATAGTGGTTGCCCCAAGGCAATTTGACAGGGGGATATGCTAGGAGGACGCGCCGCGGAACGTTCCGAGGGACGCGCCAAGCGACGTACCAAGGGACGTGCCATGGGGACGCACCGCGGGACCTGCCAAAGGGACGCGCTACGGAACGTGCCAGGGGACGTGCCAGGGGACGCGCCGCGCAACGTGCCAGGGGGACTCGCCACGGGACGCGCCAAGGAACCGGCCAAATTGCAATGCTGAGTGCATCGACCTTGATGTACCGTGCCGACGGCTGTGCTGTGCTGCGCCGTGCTGAATTGCGATGTGCCATGCCGCGATTGTGCTCTATATAACGTTGTAGATCGAGTCCTCCCTGGCATCCGAATCCTGACCGAACTGATCTAGATCTTAAGCGCGAGCTGCCTGAGCAGATGGTAGCTGCCCCAGAACTAATCGACAGAGGAGACATGCCAGGAGGACGCGCCGCGGAACGTCCCAAGGGACGCGCCAGGCGACGTGCCAGGGGACATGCCATGGGGACGCACCGCTGGACGTGCCAAGGGGACGCGCTACGGAACGTGCCACTGGACGTGCCGCTGGACGTGCCAGGGGGACGCGCCGCGCGACGTGCCAGGGGGACTCGCCACGGTACGCGCCAAGGAACGTGCCAAGGTGCAATGTTGAGTGTATCGATCTTGATGTACCGTGCCGACGGCTGTGCTGTGCTGCGCCGTGCTGAATTGCGATGTGCCATGCTGCGATTGTGCTCTATAGCGTTGTGGATCGAGTCCTCCCTGATCCGAGTCCTGACCGAACTGATCTGGATCTTAAGCTCGAGCTGCCTGATTAGATGGTAGCTGCCCCAGAACTAATCGACAGGAGGGCATGCCAGGAGGACGCGCCGCGGAACGTCCCAAGGGACGTGCCAGGTGACGTGCCAGGGGACGTGCCATGGGGACGCACCGCGGGACGTGCCAATGGGACGCGCTACCGAACGTGCCAATGGACGTGCACCGCGCGACGTGCCAGGGGGACTCGCCACGGGACGCTCCGCGGAACGTGCCAGGCAACATGCCAGGCTGCAATGCTAAGGGTATCGATCTTGATGTACCGTGCCGAGGGCTGTGCTGTGCCTGGGCGACCTGGACACGTGAAAACACGCGTTCCGCTCAAGACGTTCTCAGCACATCTTCATGCTAGACATCCGCCTGGGCAACCTGGACACGTGGAAACAAGCGTCCCGATCGAGACTTCCTCGACACATCCTCATGCTAGACATCCGCCTGGGCGACCTGGACACGTGAAAACAAGCCTCTGGTTCTAGACATCCTCAACAAATCCTCATGCTAGACATCTGTCTGGGCAACCTGGAGGCGTGAAACCAAGCGTCTCGCTCGAGACATCCTCAAGACCTGGGCGCGTGAAAACAAGCATTTCATTTAGAGATCCTCTGAATTCAGGTCCCCAGGAGAGGACAATATATAACACAAAACAAGCGTTTCGCTCGATACATCCTCAAATCTTAATTCGCCGGCCCATCTCGACTTCGATTCTTATCGCAAAAGAAATTCGCCGGCCCACCTCAAGTCAAAACCGGGGGGAAACAAACTAAAAGAGAACCCTGGGCCTAAGCCCTTTCCGGAAAAAAGGAGTGGGAGGGGGAGGGGGTCGTGCTCGCCTGCGGCGGCACTTATTGCTGGACGGAGGCATCTGTCCGGAATGAAATGAACAGGCACGGGATGTTATATACTACACCTCGGTGGCGCCAGCTGTGGGATGCCACGCGTGCGCACGCCTGAGCTGCAATGGACTTGCCCCATCTTCGACATTTGGCGGCACGGCCAGTCAAGACAGACATAAGCCATGAGCGCAGAGCCTGCCACGAAATCGTGACCGTCCAGTTCACACTTAAACGCCAAACAAAGTTGCGATGGCAAGGCAATTGACGTCCCACTGCTGCAGCTGCAACATTGAGTTGGCTGGATATAGCTTGAAGGCAATGCGTGCTCATACGTACTCCACCACACATCATAGAAAACGACAACAGCCACAGCCATTGAACCTTCAATTTGGAAGGTATTACATTGAATGGAGCAACAAGTTCAGAAAAGTGCGTAACATCGACATCCACCTACACTTTGAACTGAACATTGTAGTGAAGCGCGTAGGACAGCGGCACGTGCATTACTTGCCCCCCGCAGGGGCCAGGCTAGCCTTCCCTGCCGTTCTTCGTCCCCCCGCATGGCTGCGAGAGCCCGCGGATGGCCACCATCGCACGCACCCCGCGGCTCACCTGGCACACGGCTGAGGCAGGTGAGTGATCAATCTTTTGCCACAGTGATCAGGCTCGCGTTGCGTGGTCAGCTCCACCGCTTAGTTGCTCTGATACATCCGTTTTGAAACGTAACACGTTCAGTGATCAACACGTCCGTGTGAACACGTTTCGTGTTGGTTCAGCACGTGGTGGCAAAGGTCTTGGCGAACGTATCGCGCCAGACCTACGTTATCAATCTACATGTTGAGCTCCGTGTCAACACGTTGCGGGTTGCGAGTTGCGTGTCGGGGCAGCTGAGCTCCAGCGTGATGCGCGCATCTCTCTCGTCGATCGCAGGTCGCTGGGTCACCTCGTCGCTCATCATGAACATGCGTGCCACGCGGTGTCTAGGCGCCCCTAACTCTTTCGTGGCCTCCGATTGGCAATGCCATTCCCCAATTTGCCAATGGGAACTCGCGTGCGGGCCCCAGCAGCGTGGACCCTCTTCACCGAGAGGAATGGCTGAGAAGAAGGATGAGGAGGTGGAGAATGAGGACTAAGAGGAGGAAGGAGGAGGGAGGAGGGATGGGGAGGTGGATGAGGAGGATGAGGAGGCGGAGGGTGAGGATTGGGAGAAGAAAGAGATGGAGGAGGAGGGGGATGACTATCAAGAAGGTGGGGGAGGAAGGGGGAGAGGGAAGAAGAGGTTGGGGGATGAGGGAGGCGGAGGGGTGATTGGGGAGGAGCGGAGAGAGAAGGGGGGAGGGGGGAAGAGGGAGGGAGGGAGGGAGGGAGGAGGTGGAGGAGGGATGAGGAAAGAATTCGTGCTAGATGCTTGGCCCCGGGTTATCACACCGTCATGATCATCATCAGCAGCATCATGATCATCATCATCATCATCATCATCATCATCATCAGCAGCATCACCATCATTGTCATCACCATGTATAGCATCATCACCATTACCATCGCTGTCATCGTCATCATCACCAATATCAGCGCCATCAGCACCATCATCTATATCCTCATGACCATCATCAGCATCGTCATCATCATCACCACTCTCATACTAGTGGGACGGAATATAGATCACTAGCAGGCACAATCATCTTCACCATCGTCGTCATCAGCATCATCATCACCATCACCATCACCATCAGCATCATCATCGTCATCATCATCATCATCATCATCATCATTATCACCAGCACCATCATCATCAACATCATCGTTGTCGTCGTCATTAGCATCATCATCACCATCATCATCATCATCATCATCACCATCATTATTATCATCAGCAACAGTATCGGATGCGGGGGAGCAATGTATTCCCATGGGTGTGGACGACTCTTGCGGCAACCAGGGCTTCGTTTCATAGGCTCGTCGCCCTGTCTTGCGCCCACTGCGGTGCTTTACATGCCGCAGCCTGCAACACTACAGGAGGTGGACGGGTGGTGTGTTCCTGATGTGGTGTAGTTGGAGAGGGACTTACCGCCAATTCGCCAGGACAGTCTTCTCTCACCCCTGCTGGTGCTCAGCCAAGAGCCCGTCCTGCCAAGCCCCTACGCAATGCAATCATGTGGCAGCAGGTGTCTGACGATGCAAAGGAGGAGTGATGAAGCGATGCTGTAGGAGACTTTGCAACACAGGGGCATCTTTCGATGGGCCATTCGAAACACGGACGTTCCTGGTGGGATCGCCGAGGTCCAGCATTCAGACGGGCACTACTGCATTGGCCATAGCCGTACATTAGTCACACTTCCAGGTTCCTCACGCTTTCGCTCACAGCCGGGTACATGTTTGAGGGTATGGTTTAAACGGCCCTGCGCTTGCCTCTAACGCAAACATGTTACAATGAGGGAGGTGGATCGGGGTTCTAGAGTGAGTATCGGTTATCCAGCCCTTTCGGGCAATCTGCATGGCCGATACTCCCACCCTTTATGGGCAACTCTGTTTTTCTTTTTTGTTGGGCCTTTTTCATGTGGTTCTCAATGATTGCTGTCCTTGCTCATTTCTCCCAACAGTATGCACATGCGCCTCCTCAGATTGTCTTCTGACGCCCGCAGAAGTAGACGCAGCGACCGTTAGGCCCAGAACCATGACAACGCTAAGAAGGAGGAGGACGAAGACGAGGAGGAGGAGGGGGAGGAGCGAGGGGGGGACGAGGCGAAGGGGCAGGGTCGCTGTGCGGATAACCCCATATGGCCCAAACGGCCACTTGGGGGGAGGCCGAGCGCGGCCGCCACGTGTGTGCACGGCGGCTCTGCGGCCCCGTCTCTGCCGACCGGCCGCGGCCAGGACGACGCCGTAGACGCGCTGTGCAGGCTCAGGGGGGGCTGCGCGCCAGTGCGGGAGTGGTGGGGCTCGCCCTCCAGGAGGAGGAGAAGGAGGAGGAGGAGGAGGAGGAGGAGGAGGGGAGGAGGAGGAGGAGGAGGAGGGGGGGGGGGAGGAGGAGGGGGAGGAGGAGAGGGGGAGGAGGAGGAGGAGGAGGAGGAGGAGGAGGAGGAGGAGGAGGGGGAGGATGGGGAGGAGGAGGAAAAGGAGGAATAGGAGGAGGAGGAGGAGGAGGAGGAGGAGGAGGAGGAGGAGGAGGAGGAGGAGGGGAGGAATAGAAGGAGAGGGAGAAGGAGGTGGAGGTGGAGGTGGAGGTGGACGAGGAGGAGGAAGCGGAGGAGGAGGAGGAGGCTTTCTTGTTTTGGCCACAGTTGGCCGAACTAGTTACTGCCCGCCCCTCAAACGGAGCGGGCCTGAAAACAGGGCAGAGGGCTGCCACTGACCGCGACGGCGACCAGGAGGTCATCACCTTGGTCCATGGCAGCCCTTAGCCCTCAGTCGGAACCAGACTCCACGTCTTGACCGAAACAAATGATCGACCCACGAACCCGGAAAGGAATATAGAAATGTAAGGCATGGCAACGTTTTAAAGGCACCTGATTGGGCGACGGGCAAATGCGATGCTGAATGTATCGATCTTGATGTATTGTGCCGATGGCTGTGCTGTGCTACGCCGTGCTGAACTGAGATGTGCCATGCCGCGATTGTGCTCTATATAGCGTTGTGGATCGATGACCGAACTGACCTGGATCTTAAGCTCGAGCTGCCTGAGCAGATGGTAGCTGTCCCAGAACTCATCGACAGAGGGGACATGCCAGGAGGATGCGCCGAGGAATGTCCCAAGGGACGCGCCAGGCGACGTGCCAGGGGACGTGCCATGGGGACGCACCGCGGGACGTGCCAAGGGGACGCGCTACGGAACGTGCCAATGGACGTGCCGCGGGACGTGCCAGGGGACGCGCCGCGCGACGTGCCAGGTGGACTCGCCACGGAACGCGCCAAGGAACGTGCCAAGGTGCAATGTTGAATGTATCGATCTTGATGTACCGTGCCGATGGCTGTGCTGTGCTGGGCCATGCTGAACTGCGATGTGCCATGCCGCGATTGTGCTCTATATAACGTTGTGGATCGAGTCCTCCCTGGCATCCGAGTCCTGACCGAACTGATCTGGATCTTAAGCTCGAGCTGCCTAACACACATAGTAGCTGCCCCAGAGTTCATTGATAGGGGGATCTGCCAGGAGCACGCGCCGCGGAACGTCTCAAGGGACGCGCCAAGCGACGTGCCAGGGGACGTGCCATGGGGACGCACCGCGGGACGTGCCAAGGGGACGCGCTACGGAACGTGCCAATGGACGTGCACCGCGCGACGTGCCAGGGGGACTCGCCACGGGACGCTCCGCGGAACGTGCCAGGCAACACGCCAGGCTGCAATGCTAAGGGTATCGATATTGATGCACCGTGCCGAGGGCTGTGCTGTGCCTGGGCGACCTGGACACGTGAAAACAAGCGTATCTCTCGAGACATTCTCAACACACCCTCATGCTAGGCATCTGCCTGGGCAACCAGGACACGTGCAAACAAGCGTCTCGATCGAGACTTCCTCGACACATCCTCATGCTACACATCCGCCTGGGCGACCTGGACACGTGAAAACAAGCCTCTGGTTCGAGACATCCTCAACAAGTCCTCATGCTAGACATCTGTCTGGGCATCTTGGAGGCGTGAAACCAAGCGTCTCGCTCGAGGCATCCTCAAGACCTGGGCACGTGAAAACAAGCAATCCACTTGAGAGATTCTCAGAAGTTAGGTCCCCAGGAGAGGACAATCTATAACACAAAACAAGCGTTTCGCTCGAGACATCCTCAACCAAATCTTGAAACACAAGCGTTTCGCTCGAGACATCCTCAAATTTGAATTCGCCGGCCCTTCGCGACCTCGTTATTTATCGCAGCAGAAATTCGCCGGCCCATCTCCGGGGGTAAACCTCTAAAAGAGAACCCTGGGCCTACGCCCTTTCCGGGAAAAAGGAGGAAGTGGGGCCTCGTCCTCCTCGACACGACGGCGGCGGCACGGGGCGGCAGCGGCAGAGGACCGTCCAGCCTCGTCCTCCGCCTCGAGCCTGACCCTTGGGCGCGCCGATCGCCTGACGGGCGACCTGCGGCCCTCCACGACACCCTCACCCACCGCCCCCACTCCCGACCCGTCTCCGCCCAACTCTCGCGAACACGTGCGTGCAGGGATCGCCACCAGACCTTCGAGCGGCTTGGCAGAGCTGCCTCTGAGTATTGGGCGACCTCAGCGGCAGTGGCCGACTCCTGGGCAGCACAAGATACAGGCCACGGCTGATTGGGATGCATACCCTTCCTTAACCGCCTGAGAGCCGTGGTGCCTGCGCCACTCCTATCCTCGTCGCTGCGCGGCCTCGCGCGCCTCTGGGACAACATACGAATACGATGTTGCGCGAAGTATCCACACGGCATACATAAGAAGAGGGGACGCTCCTGATCCGCGACTTGGGTGCTGGCCGATTGGTGGCCGTGATTCGGGCTTGAGGTCATGAGCTCCTTCGCTAAACTCGGAAAACTTGTGCATCCCACCTCGGGTCTGACCGAGACTCCTCCACTATAAGTTTCACACAGCTGCTGCAACGGTGGCCCCACAACCAGGGTTCCCACGAGTGCCAGCCATCTGCCGACTTAAAAAGTTCGACCTTATGATCACGCTTTGGGGGCCTCTGATGTTGGACCCTCGGGAAACAAGGGAGAAAATTCGCCGCCAGTCGTGCCACCGTTTCGAGATCTCCGATCGAGTTGTTGATTGCTTCCCACTCGGCCTGCGCAGGCCTAGAGTGCAACACAATTGCTTGCTTGGCTTCGATGTCCGCTCGCCAGTTGGCCTGACCTATCCACCTGTCGGGAGCAGGGAGATAATCACTTTTATTGAGATATCGGTGCGCTGGTGAGTACACTGCAGGTGCGTATGTGTTCGCCGCTATGTTGGAGAGCACCACGTCGCAATCCAGAGTATTTCGATTACGGCTCAAATGCTGCCGTGGCGTACTATTGTGCAACCGAACGGCATTCATACAGTCGTTGTAACACGCATCGCCAGATCTAGGAACAAATATGGGTAGGAGGCTGAATTGGAGCGGTTCAGCTGTCGGACTCGTCTGCGGCCGAGATGGCCACACTGTCCCCTTCGCCGTAGCAAAACCTGCTGCCCTTCGGGACCCATGAAGACCCACGCGTAGGAGGCCCTGGACAGTTCCTGTACGGCGTGCGGGAGACATGCACCATCGCTTGACACACTCAAACCAGTGGCGTCACCATCGTTCGAGTCCATGCGGGCGCCGTTGGCATCGTACAAGGGTGACGAAACTTGAGTCCTGCGAAGAACTCCTTGGGGTCATCTCTCGCCTTCTGGACAACGTAATCAGTGGCCTGGACGGCCTTACGAGCAGCCTTAACCTCCTGGGACCTTTTGCAATCGTACAGGCGGTGGTGGAGCGAGTCAGGCTGATTTCACAGCGGGCACAATCCCTGAGATAAATAACCCGCAAGGACCGCACGATCCTCGCACGAACAGTCGTGACAATACATGGCTCTCACCATATATTTGCCTTGAGTGTTCAAGCCGATGCCTTTTCCCGAGGCCCTGGTGATCCTTCAGATGAGCTCCACGCAAACTCGTTCCCCCTCTTCCCAACGAAGACGGGCCTCCAGGACCCTATCATGATGCCTCTTGACCCCCTCCCTGAGCAGGGCATTGGACATGGCGGGGGAGTTATAGAGGAGGAACAGTTCGTTACCACGGTTTTCGGTCCAGAGGAGGGGCCCCTCGGCTTCCCAATTAATCTTATCAAAAGAGTCACGCTCTCCCGATCGGCCCCTTCGTATCTGCCCACGTCAGTCCTTCCGTTACCGCCGTCCACATGAGGCGCAGCTCGGGCATCGTGAAGTGAGCGATAGCAGGTTTAGTTGTCGTTTGCCAAACGGCACTGGCCCAAGCTAAGGCAGGCGCGACCATGCTGCGCCAAACGGGGTCACCGTGCAGCACCGTGTTGGCCTTGATAGAAGCTCCCGCATGAGCAGATGACTGGAAAGGCAACATGACCGACCTAATTCGTTTCAGCTCAGCATCCGTGGCACTAGTCACCGTGTCCCCGAACGAGACAGCAGGGCTGACTCCCCCCGTGTAGGTTTTACCGGTACGGCCCTGGTCTTTGGGAAGCGCTTTCTTGAGGCGCAAGAGTTTTCGATGCCGACGTCTCATATCCACAATCCTGGACCTACGCTTACTGCACATGGGTGCCCACCATTCCCCCCAGCGTTCCGAGCCTGCGTCCAAGCCGCACCGACAAGGAGGGGGTGGAGGCAAGGTTCAAAAGCTTGTCAGCCGCAAGGCCGACACCAAGCTCACTCGTGAAGACCTCGTGGATGGAGGTCTTCGGCAGCTTTCCCGAGCACAGCCACGACATGGTGAGGAGGAAGGGAAGCAGGGGGAGGAGGGGGAGGGAGGAGCAGCGTACGCACGAGCCCGCCCCTTCCGAACAGGGCGAACGGGCGGCACCACGCGCGGCGCATTGCCACGGAGGATTTGGTGCCCGCGACGAAGCCCGAGGACACCGAGAACCAATGCCAGACAGCCCTCGGGGGCGCCCAAACGGTGTGGTGACCACACCGCTTGGTGAGTCCGTGAGGATTCGGGGTCACTGCACGGTTTTCGGATTCGGGTCGTTATCCGAGGATGTCTTGGGCAATTGGAGCCTCTGGGGGTTCAAAACCGTGCGGTGACAGACCGAGCGGTGATATTGATTGGGATTTCGAGATCACCGCGCTGTCTGTCACCGCACGGTTTTGGGACCATCGAGAGACCTCTCCTTTCAGTAGCGTGCTGGCTGGGATGTGCAGCGCGCACTGGCAGAGCGTTGCGTCTGCGAGTTGTTTGCCATGTCGTTGCGGCAGCGACCATTGTCGATTACGACCGCCAATGCTGCCGGCACTTCTACTAATAGCACGACGGTGGTGACAACACCCTGAACAGCAAGGGAGCAAAGAACACGAGGACGACCAGCGGCAAATGGTGCCCAGCTTCAGCTGGGATGCCACCGAGCTTGTCTCAGGGACTCAATCCTTACTCCTTGGTGGGGTGTACTCCCACTCTGCCACACAGCCGGCCGATAGCAACTCAATCTGGGTGGTCGCATCCTGCCAGTCACAGGCACAACAAGATCCTCATTATCTTTTGTTGAACATGGGCATCGTGTCGTCCACGTTGCAAAATGCGTGGCAGGAGTGGAACGGAGCGCACATCCCGCGCGAGCAGCCGACATGTCGCTCTCGCCTTGGCGCTCTCCTAGAGAGTTGAGCTCCCGCTTGGGCTCGGCGCACATCTTTCGCACGCGACTTCGCCGACGCGCGAGCGGACAAGAATGTAGCTCTCTCCTCGGCGCCGCGCAGATTTCACCTGAAAATGGCGCTCCCGACTGGGCGGGACGCATCGCCAATTCTGGGAGGGCCCGCGCGAATGGGCGATTTGTCGCCCTCGCCCCTGCGCGGCACGCGAAGTCTTTCTCCCTTCGCCAAGTCGTCGGAAGCCCGGTCGCGCGCAAACGTCTTCCCTTTGCGACGTGGGCGCGCGTTCCAATTCCAATATCAAGTTATGCCACACTTGATTCCTCTGCTGCGGCAGAGAGGGTGGGAATGGGTGGGACCCTCTGACTCGCTCGACCTGGGTAACTTGAGCTAGACATACTCCTTGTCGTCATTACCAGCGCGTCCTACCCCGAGCTGGACCATGTGAAGACTGGAGGCTATGGCGAGAGCTATGTTCCTCGCTGGCCTCGTCGCCGAGGAGGAAGCATCGGCGGAAGTCGAGGCGGCCCCAGCCAGGAGAGGCTCAACGACGCCCACGATTCGACCGCAGAGGGAGATGCGTCGGACCGCAAGCCGCCTGGCTGTGCCGCTATCTGGATTGACAAGTCAGACCAATCATTGGACTCGGCTCGGCTGCGTTCTTCTTTTCCCCTGGGCGGGATGATAGCAGACATCGAGCTCCGCGACGGGCATGCGGTGGTGCAGTGCGAGAAACAGAGGCTGCTGACAGCACCACCCTGACCTTCGATCGGCACGTTTCTTCGTTTCTTGGGCCACCCCGCCGTATGAGGCCACGGCATGCCCGCCAGCGCCTCCGCTGGCCCTTCCTCGCTCCAAGGGAACTGTAAGCTCTGCCCTCTGCCCCGAGCAGGAGCAGGATGAAGTCCGCGAGGGTTCTGTGAACCGCCGGCTCGCACGATGGTGGCGGTAGCGCGAGTTGTCTCGCAACCAGCTGATGTGTGAGCTGTGGGAGGCTTGTTGGTCGCTGCCTGCTGGAAAACATGAAGTCTGCGAATGCTCTGATGAGGAGGAGGCGTCTTTCAGACGCGCCTCCCCTCGCAGCTGTGCGTCGCCGGCTGAATCATCTCCGCGCGGCTCCCGCTCCACCGACAACCTCCAGCTGTCGGAAGATGACGTCCCCGGGGGCCACGAGGAGGAGGACGAGGAGGAGGAGGAGGAGGAGGAGGAGGAGGAGGAGGAGGCGTCGGCTTTCCGCAGCACCAGCACGAGCAGCCATGAAGCGCCGTCGAGAGCTCCGCCACCTGGCGTCTATATCTGGTCCGAGCTCGTCGATTATGTCTCCAGGGAGTTCGAGCGCCAGAATATGGTCATCGCCGGGTGGAAAGCGGGTTCTCTATCATCGACGGCCTCTCCGAAACGTGGGCCATCACCAGAGTGCGTGCGCGACTGTAAGATGCCGCAGGAACATTGGTGCTCGATACTGCAGCTCTTGGCTTTCCTTCACCATGAGTGATCTGCGTGTCCGTTCGCCCTGTAGGTGCCAGGTCCCGCAGTGGCGTAGGCCCCTCTCCCTCAGGAGGGGTGCACGCTTCGGTTCTTCCCATCTGTCGCCCTTCCCCCCTACGGTAGATTCGTGTCGTGTCGACCGGCGGCGATCCCGCCAGCGGCGTTCAACTTTGAACGCCGTGGGCGACCCAGAATCGTTCGATGTGGAACGGCCGATCGTTCAAGGTGGAACGATCCCCGCGGTGTCAGAAATCAACGCTGGGGTCAGCACGACACGAACCTGACGTACGTGGTATGTGCATGTTCAGGGGCGGAACGGGGGGGATCGTCCTCGAGGCGCTGGCCCTTCCAGGCCACCCGTGGCCATGCCGCCCGGGCGGAGTCTAGCCGCGCAGGTCTCCTCGGTCCGTCTCTTTGGGCCCAGGCAGCCGAGAGGAGCGGGCCCACCGCGTGGGCCGGGGGGATCTTGCTCGCCTGTGTGATTGTCGCCGCCCGCGCCCCCGTGCACTGGTCGCAGGCAGCAGCCGGTCCCGCGGCAAGCACGTCCGGTCAGACCTCCCAGCCAGGCCAACCAACGAAGCCAGCCCGTGCCTGGAGCTTTGCGCCTGGCCGTCGACGAGCCAGCTGCACGAGCGAGAAAGGGGGCGAGGGGGGGAAGAGGAGGAGGAGGAGGAGGAGGAGGAGGAGGAGGAGGAGGAGGAGGAACAGCGCCGACGCCCTCACACTCATTGCTCCCAACTTGGGCCCGCCATTGCCTCAGGGCCCCCCCTGTCCTTCCCCCCCCCCGTGCTTGCCCTTTGTCCCTGGTGGTCCTGGAGGGCGTCTGTGGCTTTGGGGCTTTGGGGTGTTCTTTCCTCGCTTTCCTTCTTCCCTCCTCCTTCCTCTTTTGTCCTCCCTTCCTCTTGTCCTCCTGTTGCCTCTTCGTGCTGTCCTCCGCCTCGTTCGCCACTCCATCCTCCCTTCTCCTCAGGTTCTTCCTCGTTCGAAGGCCAGATACGCTCACAGAGTATGCCCTCTCGTCTCCTCGTCGCCCTTCTCCTTGTCCTTGCCCCTGATCGAGCTCCAATTCATGATCCCACCTCGGATGGGGGAGGGAGGGCAGGTCAGGTGAGGTAGGAGCGGGAAAGAGGACGGGGCAGGTAGGTGCCTTCTTGCTTCTCCTGCTCCTGGGCAGACGTCGACCAGGCAGGTGCCCTGGGAGGGGCCAAGGCCCAGAATGCGAGGTTGAGGCCCTTGGCACCCCGTCGACGGCCAGATCCTTGCGGCACCGTGGGCCCGATCGGCACAGCCGCCTCCCGCGAGGATCACGCTGTGCGCGAGGATCACGCTGTGCCTTGCAGCTCGCGCTCGGCAGCAGCCGCGGCCCGCTCACGGCATTCGCCCTCCCCTCCTCTCCTTTCTCCCTCCTGTGGGGCACGCTCTGTCGTTTCATGCCTGCCTTTCCTGGGCTGCGCAGGCCTTTTCTGGGCTACCCAGTGCAGAAGGCGCGCCCTTTTCGTGGCCTTCAGACGTGGAGAAAGGACGGCCTCGACATTGACACCGCTTCTGCCCACGCGAATGCCAACCTCGAAATCAGGGCGAGAGGCCATAGATATGGCAAACACCGAACGTGGGAGCTTCGGTTGGCTGGGGGTGTGAGCTGGATCGGACGGGGCCTCGACGAAGAGAAGTCCGTTCCAGAGCATTCTGGAACGCTCTCGGAGCGTTCCGGAACGCTCTGAGAAGGCCGTGGCGCCCGAGACATCCTCCAGAACCGCCGGATCTCAGATATGTTCGATGCATCCTCCTGGCTTCGTCTTGCTCCACGTATCCGTGGTCTGCGCCAAAATCTAACAGCAAGGTGTTGTGCTGGAAGGAGCATGAGGCGGAGGAGGCGGAGGAGGAGGAGGAGGAGGAGGAGGAGGAGGGGGAGGGGGAGGAGGAGGGGGAGGGGAGGAGGAGGAGGAGGGAGGAGGAGGAGGAGGAGAGGAGGAGGAGGAGGAGGAGGAGGAGGAGGAGGAGGAGGAGGAGGAGGAGGAGGAGGAGGAATAGCGTTGGCAGGGTCCGGACAATTCTCAAGCCGTCAGGAGCGAGGAGCCAGAAGGAGGAGGAGGAGGAGGAGGAGGAGGAGGAGGAGGAGGAGGAGGAGGAGGAGGAGGAGGAGGAGGAGGAGGAGGAGGCGGAAGAAGACGAGGAGTGAAGATAGGTGAGGGGAGGGGAGGGGAAGGAGGGCATGAGATAGGGTTGGGCGGAAGGAGGGAGCTGGAGGGAGGGAAGAGAAGGGAAAGCAGCAGGGACGAGTAGCAGGAGGACAGGGATAAAAGGAGGGGGGAGGAAGAGGTGGTGAGTTTTGCTTCCGCCCCTGGTCCTGACCTCCGGAGGCCCCCAGGAGCCCCCCCCCAGCAGGCCCCCCCCCCAGGAGGCCCCCCCCCCCCGGAGGCCCGCAAGAAGGGCCCGAGAGGTCGGAGAAATTTTATAGAACGCCGGGAGCCCTCTTTCTTCGACGGCCGGGGCGGCAGAATACAACACGACGAATCGGAGGAGCAGAAGGGGGGGGAGCGGGGGGGGGATGGGCGCGAGGAGGAGGAGGAGGAGGACGAGGACGAGGAGGAGGAGGAGGAGGAGGAGGAGGAGGAGGAGATAGCCTCAGGCTGATGAGCCATGTGGACCAGTCGAGCAGGACGCGTGCCGCCGACGCCCATCCCCTCCCCTCCCCCCCCATCCCTCCCCTGCCCTCCTGCCCTCCCTCCCCTCCCTGCTCACTCTTCTCCATGCTCCCTCGCTCCTCCCCTCCCCTCCACTCTTCTTCTGCCCTGACCCCCTTCGTGTTCCCTCCCCATTCCCTCCCTCCCTGCTCCCTCGCCTCGCTCCCCTGCTCTCTGCTCCCTCGCCTCGCCTCGCTCCCTCCCTCCCTGCCCCCTCCCTGCTTCCCTGCTCTCATCCTCCCTCCCTCCCATGCCCCCCTGCCCCCCCTCTGCTCCCGCTCTTCCCCTCCTCCCCATCCCTTGGCCCCCCTCCCTGCCCCCACTTCACCCCCCCCTCCCCCCTCCCTGCCTGCTCCCTGGCCCCTCCCTGCTCCCGGCTCCCTCCTGCACGCCCCCGCCAGGCCTGCCCGTGGCTGCGCATATCCCACACGTTTTTCCCGCACATGATGATCGCCCCCTTTTCCCGGCCCTCCCTCGAGCGCCGAGGCTGGAGAACTCGGCTAGTGCCTTTTTGGGGGTGGGGGGGCCCTGTTGGCTGGGCCCTGGACCGTGGGGGGCGAGCCCTCGGCAGCGTTAAAAGGGTCTCCTCGGATGCGCGCCCCACCCCGCCGTTGACGTTCCCCCTTCCTTGATCTTCCCCCTATGGGCGTCGAACCTTCTCTCGATGGAAAGCTGACGTGGATTGAGGCGCGTGGACTAGCGACGGGTCCCGATTCGATGCAACATCGGCGCGCTGTGTCGCCAACTTAGGCGGCCGTGGCCTCATGTGTCGGGGGGTACCTTCGCCGATACATGGGTCTGGCGTCCACGCACCAGATCCACGGATCACTAATCCATGCTAGCATGCGCCCGACTTTTTTCCCAACCATCCTGTGGTGTTGGGTCCTCGTTTTGAAGAGACGGTGCCCCGCGTCTCCTTTTCCTTCCGCTGCCCCCTCCCTCCTCCTCCCCCTCCTTGCCTCTGCTCTCGGCACACTCCTCACACGCTTCGTAGCCCCATAGGGAGGCCCACCGAAGGCCCCAGTGGCGCAGTTCGCATGCGGTTCCCCCGCACAGGGCAGCGTTTCGTGGCCCTATAGGGGGCCCCACCGAAGGCGCCAGTGGCTGCTCTCGCATGCGGTTCCCCCACCCAGGGCAGCGTTTCGTGGCCCCATAGGGGGCTCCACCGAAGGCTCCAGTGGCTGCTCTCGCATGCGGTTCCCGCACCCAGGGCAGCGCTGCGTGGCCCCATAGGGAGCTCCACAGAAGGCCCCAGTGGCTGCTCTCGCATGCGGTTCCCCCACCCAGGGCAGCGTTTCGTGGCCCCGATAGGGAGCTCCACCGAAGGCCCCAGTGGCTGCTCTCGCATGCGGTTCCCCCGCCCAGGGCATCGTTTCGTGGCCCCATAGGGGGCTCCACCGAAGGCCCCAGTGGCTGCTCTCCCATGCGGTTCCCCCACCCAGGGAAGCGCTTCGTGGCCCCATAGGGAGCGCCACCGAAGACCCCAGTGGCTGCTCTCGCATGCAGTTCCCCCACCCAGGGCAGCGCTTCGTGGGCCCATAGGGAGCTCAACCGAAGGCCCCAGTGGCTGCTCTCGCATGCGGTTCCCCC